TCTCATCTCAATTGGCTGCTGATCCAGGAATGAGTTATGCTTTAATGCAAGCTGAGTTGAAGGAAAAATGGGGCATTGAGACTCAATATTGGCAGCTTCATAAGGCAAGGACAGCTGCTAGAGAGCAAGTTGCATGTTCACACGTGGAGAGCTACAATAAGTTGCATGAATACATTGCACATCTTCAAATGTCAAACCCTGGAACTTTCATAAAATTTGAATCAATGCCAAGTAACAATTTGGATGAGCCACTTGTCTTTAGCTCCATTTTCATATGTTTTAAAGCAATGAAAGTGGGATTTTTGGAGGGACGTAGGCCTCTCATTGGATTGGATGGATGCTTCCTCAAGGGCCCTTTTGGAGGATATTTACTGAGTGTTGTTACACTAGATGGGAATAAGGGGGTGTTGTTTTCCCACTAGCTTTTGCAATTGCTGGCAAATGAAAGCAACTGCAAACATGGACCTTCTTCCCTTGACTGTCTTACCTTCTTCCTTGACTGTCTTAGACATTGCATTGGACCGCGATGTGATTCAAAGCCATGGACATTCATTTCAGACAGACAAAAGGTAACTTCCTCCAAAGTATTTCATAATTCACTTTCAACTATTTAGCTAATGATGTTGAATTCTTTTTGAACATAGGGATTGCTTGAGGCAGTGATGACACAGTTTGAAGGTTCAATCCACAGATATTGTTGTCAACATTTGTTAATGAACTTCAAGAAGCAATTTCTAGGGGTGATGTTGAGGAAGGAATTTTGGATGGCAGCTAAGTCTAGCCATAGTTAGCATTTAAGCAGCATATGAAGAATGTTGAGGCTAAGGATGAGGGAAGGGCTGCAAAATGGTTACTGGAAATTCCTCTTTCACATTGGACTAGACATGCCTTTCATCCACCAGCTAAAAGCATTGATGTGACAAATAACATGACAGAGAGTTTCAACAGCTGGCTTGGAAACTTGAGGAACAAACCAATTGTTGAGCTAATAGACTCTATTAGGCAGAAATGTATGGTTAGGAAAGAAAATGTCAATGGTTAGGCTTTCACTAAAAGGTTTGCAATGGTTGTTGAGCTAATAGACTTTATTAGGCAGAAATGTATGGTTAGGCTTCATAAAAGGTTTGCAATGGCTGCTACTTGGGAAGGGAGAGTGACTCCAAAATGCAAGAGTGCATTGAACAGATTGATAAAAGAATCAAGACAATGCAAGATACTACCAAGTAACAATAATGAGTTTGAGGTGAGAGAGGGGCCTGTGGCTTTTGTTGTTGACATTGGGAAAAGGACAAGTACCTGCAATTATTGGGACATTTCAGGTCTTCCATATAAACATGCTTGCATTGCACTTGGATACATGAGACTCAATCTTGAAGACTTCTGTGATGAGTGTTTCACAATAGAGAAGTATATAAAGTTTTACAAAGGAGTCATTCATCCAATCCCAAATTACAACATCCCACCACAAACTGAATTTCCAGTCCTAAAGGCTCCAGATGTTCAAAGGAAGCCTGGTAGACCAAAAGAAAGGAGAACACTTCAAGAGGGTGAAGCTGATCTAAGCACAGTAAAAAGATCTTGCACAGTTAGGTCTGTGACATGCAAGCAACTAGGCCATAATAAAAGAACATGCGAGCAAGCCCCCCTAGCCAAGTCTCAGGTTAGATTCACTTTTGCAATCTGAATAGTTACTATTTTGTTTTATAGTATGTTGTTTTTAATGTATATCCCATTTGTTTTATTAGTAAATTAGAGGAAGCAACTACAACTTGTGCAAAAGAGGGGAAAAGAATCAAATCTGGGATGCTTCGCGTGCTATTAGAAGAGGAGGAAAAAGATCATCTGGATCTGCTGCTATTGTGGAAAGAGGTGCTGCTAGTGCTATGGGAAGAGGTGTTATTGGTTCCAGAGGGAGAGGTGTTGCTGCAACAAGAGGGAGAGGTGCTTCGGGTTTGAGAGGGAGAGGTGCTTCTGGTTTGAGAGGGAGAGGAGCTCCTATGTCTTGAATAGACATTTTTTGTTCAGTGTTAATATGTTGCAGACTTGGTTTTTTTGTTCATATGTTGAAGATGGTTTTTTGTGGATTCATATGATGTAGATGTTATTTTGGGTTGTTGAGGTGTTGCAGATGGTATTTTGGGCTTCACATGTTGCAGTAATTCATATGGAGATCCTGCTATATGCATTTTGTGGGAACATGTGCTGCTACTGAGAAGATATTGCACAGTTAGGGAGAATAAGGAATCTTTTGATTTTCTAGCAAGCATAGGAACAAATATGTCACTTTTTTTTCCTCTTTATGTCTGTCTTTTTCTTGACAACAAACACGCAAGTGTGTTATAGAAAACACTCCAGTGCATGTGGACCAAGTTTGATTTGAGTTCTTTTTTGTGATGCACATTATGTAAATATGTTGTTTTTGTCTTTTGTGAATTGGAAACATTTGATTAATGATTGTCTTTTGTGAATTGGAAACATTTGATTAATGAGAATGGAACTATTTGTAACCACTCTTGTGCATGTGAGCCAAGTTTGATTTCAGATTTTTGTAATGCACATTATGTAAACATGTTGTTTTTGTCTTTTGTCTTTTGTGCATTGGAAATATTTACAACTAGAAAAATATTCTACATTATTTTTGCTCTGCATTTGTGATACTTAATACCAAACGAATTTAGATTTAATAAGTACACATTTTCTTGCAGAAAGTATATTACATTCAATTCATCTGCAAATTGGCTGTGCCCACGTGAGTTACTAACATTCAACAACTAACCCACCACATTAACACATCCCACTACAAAAACTACAAATACTATCCAAACTACCCAAAATACATAAAAAAAAAAAAATTCACAATCCTCAGTTACCCTTGTAGAGCAAAATTACAAGTAAGGTAAAAAGCATCATGATAGCCATCATGCATATGAAAATCAACTTCTTCAAGCTGCCCTCCTGGTAGAGCAAAATTAACTTGTAGAGCAAAATTACAAGTAAGGTAAAAAGCATCATGATAGCCATCATGCATATGAAAATCAACTTCTTCAAGCTGCCAATCTCCAACTCCAAGCACTCCCTTTTTCCTCTAATCGTCACAATCTCACTGTACATTTTCATCATCTACCTCTTCAGATACAACATCTCTTCCTTCAATTCAAACAAGTCAGTAGTTACACTTCTTTGCCTCACTTTCAAATCGCTTCCTTGAGATCGATCTGATGAATCTATAGCTTTACACCATCCAAGGAAAGACCCGCATGCATTTTCAATACAGTAATAATACAGTCGATTTTTTTTTTGTTTTTTTTTTGTGTCTCATGAGATCTAAGCACATGCTTTTCCCCACAGCTTGCAGTTAGATATTTCACAAACACTTCCTCTCCATTGCATTCACTCGACCTGCGGCTGTGAAGAAGGACATGTACGTTGTCTATTTCTCTAGTTACCTGGCAAATCTATTTTAGGTTTTGGGTGTTGTTTTCCCCTTTTGTCCTTTCTCTGCGTTTTGTAGATTGGAATATGATCAACATCCTTTATTTCCATGGATAGTTCAATAGAGCATAATGTAACACCATCCAAGGAAAGACCCGCATGCATTTTCAATACAGTAATAATACAGTCGATTTTTGTTTTTTTGTGTCTCTGAGATCCTAATGCCTGCTTTTTCCCCACACTTGCAGTATATATTCACAAACCTTCCTTCTCATGCTTCATCGACTGCGCTTGAAGAAGACATGTACGTTGTCTTTTCTCTAGTTACCTGCAAATCCTATTTTAGGTTTTGGGTGTTTTCCCCTTTTTGTTCCTTTCTCTGCGTTTTGTAAGATTGGAATATGATCAAACATCCTTTATTTTCATGGATAGTTCAATAAGGGCATAATGTGTCCTCATAAAATGTCTCTCTTTGTTTTTAACGGCAAAACACCACATTTTTTGACGGAATGACCTTTTAATTAGACGGAGTAAAAGGTCGGCAACTAATTATATATTATATTAAACGTCGGGGATTACTTAGATAATTATGTCAAATCTGAGGGACTAAATAATAATTTTTCTTTTATATATATATATATATATTGATTTAACAACTCAAACGGTGTTTTGATATATAGATAGAGTTCAACGATAATTTAATAACTCAAATATCATGTTTTCATATATATGTAGATAGAATTCAATGATTTAAATAATTTAACACAAACAATCTATAATAAATATTAATTTAAATTTAAATTTTCCAATCACAACACAAAAAAATAAAGAAAAATTTCAAAAAGAAAAAAAAAAGAAAATTTGAAAATTGAATTAAGAAAGAGCGTTAAATTTTCTCTTTGTCTCAGATTTTATATAGAGAGATATAGATAAATTTTATAAATTTAGCATTAATTGACTAAGAATTTAAATCATGTAAAAAGTTTATACGCTATGAATTTCATAAATTTTAATTAATGTAAATCGAAAACTATGTTTTATAGACAATATATCTTTATAAATTTAAAAAAGAAAAAAATAAAACAAAACAAAATAAAGTCATTGTAACTTGTTATAGCAAGCGTGTGTAACACATGTCATAAAAATAGATTTCTGTATCAACAAGAATCTCTGGATTCTCTACTGTAGTAGTAAAAGCCTTTTTCCAATTTTTCTTTCACATTACTTAATTTTAATTTAATTTCACCTACACAATTTTAAAATTTTCATTAATTTTATATTTATATTAATAATATTTTATATTATTAATTGTTTTATAATTTCACTAAACAGAATACCACAAGTATGGAAATGAATTAAAAAATTATAGCAAGTATAGAACACTATTTTGCTCAATTATTAATTACCTTGAATTTATTTGTAATTGACACATTATTGTTTCTTGAATTTTCTTCAAAATTTCTCACTGTATTATTTGTTTTGTATTATTTTCTTAAATAATTTCTCAATCCAAGCCTGTAATTTTTTTTATTTAAAAAAAAAGGCTTCGCCTGTTGCCTTAAGTACGACCGCGTCTTCCTTAATCGCAGAGTCTCTTTTGTTTCCTTCAAAAAAGTTTCCACCCATCCAAACAGATTAAGATGAAAGAAATGGACCCAGATATCACCCTCTGGATTCTTGAGTTCCTCGCTCGACAACCAGTCTCAAAACTCCTCCTCAACAAGCTCATTACCAACACCCATGTCCCCATGTCATCAGCAATCAACAATCCACGCTTCAAGAAAACTCTTACACTCCGTTCAATCCAAGACGAGATTGCCAACGGCACCTCCGAAACAATTCTCGAATCACTCGAAATAATCGAAGAATTGGATAAAATTCTGAAAATCAAAACCCTAGACTCCATGAAAAAGGCCTACTGTGCAGTGGCATTGGACTGTACTATGAATCACTTGTTGAATGGTGGCGGAAGCCCGCAGAAGCGCGACGGAGGAGAGTTTTTCGAGGCTGTGAAGAAGATTTGGAGGGAGAGAATTGAGAAATTGGAGACTTTGAAGAAGAGTGAGTTAGTTACTGATGAGTTGAGGGAGGTAAAGGAAGAGATGGAAGCGGCTTTGCACGATTCTAATGCGTATAAGAGGTTGTTCGAGAGAGATACGAGACATGAGGCGGTGAGGCTTTTAAAGGAGTTTTTGAGAGAGGCAATGGATTTAATGGGACCTTCTTTCCTTGAAGCGGTTGCCAGAGCTGATATGGAAATGGTAGAGAAGGAAAAGGATAGTGATATTAATGGTAGATTTGGAGTGAAAGCTGGCAATGAAGTAAATGTGGGTGTAGAATCAGGCATTCCAGATAAGCCTGAAAGGACAGATAGAGATAAAGGTACTTTTTTTTTTTTTTGTGCATTTTTCCATTTTGAGTTTGATATTTAATTTGCAGAATGTGAGAACAAATACCTGAATGTTAATGCTTATAATTACGTGTTATAATTCATCCGATTTGCAGAATACCATGTATTAGAATCCCTGAATGTTAATCTTCTTTCTTCTTGCATGTTTATCTAGAGGAAAAATCATGGGTTCTGACAGTAGTTCTGGAAACGAGTTTATAAATTTTTTAAGACCTAATTGACTTGGGGAAGAATGAGAACTTTTTAGGTCTTTATCTCATGAACCTGAGTCTAGGTGTTTAGTTGTGACAACTTTCTTTTGGGTACATATTGTTAATTTCTTGTTGTCAAGTTTTGCCTGCTGACATGTTTTTGCCTTTCTTTTCTGCTACCCTCCAGTAATGATTGGGCTGGCTGGCTTCTTTGAACTAATTTACTAAGCTCATGGCTACATGTTTTGTTGTCTTCAGTATATCAATCTGCCGAGGTTTAGATAGCCACTAGCGTTGAATGCTTTGGTAGTATTTATTTGATTTTTATAGTTGTTATCTCTCCCATGCAGTGATAGCTCACTTGGTCACTTCATGTGCCTTTTTAAAATATTAAGTAAATATAATTAATTTCTATTTGAGACCACCAAAATTTTATAATACAAAAGGTGATTAATATTATAGTTATCTGCTGCCAATTCTTGGCAGTGATGAGGATTGCTTGGTGGTATTGAGTCATCTTAGTTGACCGACTGGGGTATCAGAATAATTTGTGGCATACTGAAATAGTTAACAGTTACGCTACTGTTCGACATGACACATGCAAAAAGGTTTAAAGAGTGGCTGGGATGTAGTCCCTTTTACTTTTAATTGGTATAATATATTTACCTTTTCACACTGTGAGTTACAACTTTTTCATGCTAAAATATTTGTGTTGTTTTACGTAGAACATCAGAAGAATGATCTGCATGATGCTTGCAACTGTCCTGAAGGATCAAGTCGGATTATGGATTCTAAAGAAGCAGACATGACCATTCCTTCGAGTAAATACAATCCTATCCCTACTCCTGAAATTAATAAAGTGAAAGAAGCACTTAAATCCAGCTCCATGGAGTTAAAAACATTGGTAGAGGACCCTCTTCCTGATGCTTTACATCACTCTGAGGCTCTAATGGCTGAAATGGGAAAAAAACCCTTGAATGACAATATTTCAGTTGAAAAGCAGAATGCAGAGGATGTAAATGTGCCTAATCCATCCACTAATGCGGTAGTCTCTGGAATGGCAAGGGAAACCTTGAATCCTGTTCCTTTAGTAGGACCTAATGCATCAGTTGCTCAAACTATTGAATCCATTCAAACTATGAAGAATAATTATGGAAATCTAATTCCCAGCCATCAGAGTCTTGTTCCAAAACACAGCTTAATGGAGCGGAATAACACTGCTTGCACATATGAGGTATGAGATTGCCTTTTATTTTGTGATCTCCAATTTACATGATACAATGGAGTTGATTTTGTGTTATAATTATAATACGTGTATATGTCATTTCTGAATGTGGCCATTTGATTTCCAAATTTATTAGCATGCTAAAAATTCTTTATTTCTTCTAGTTTACGGTTTAAACTTAAGTTGTCATTTTATCTTTCAAAAACCATTTATTGATTGGATGAGCGTATGAAAAGCACATAAATTTAGTTGCATGTGAAAAACTTTTGCAGATAGCGGGTAGCTTATAAAGTTGAAAGAGCTAAGTTCAATCATGTTGAGGGCTCTGTTTTTTCATGGAAAGTATTTTCATGAAAAGGATTTCGTGCATTTACAAATGTTTGGTGCATATAGAAAATTGGTTTACAGAAAATATTGTCCTTTTCAAAGGGAAAAAGACATAGTTTTTGAAGTAGGAAGTCATTTTCTGAAATTCCATGAACCGACAAAATGACAATGAACCAACTCGAGAACCACATAGGTACTCTGCCTTTCTTTTGTTCCTTTTTATTCTTTCTTGGGAAAAGGGATGGCAAGAAAGAAAGAATAAAAAAGCGCTATATTTTTCCTCCAGATTTTAGTTCTTGAAAATTTTTTTGTACTTTTTTTTTTGTTCGAAATTTGTGAGGAATTTTCTAATAGTTTAATCATTCAATTTGAAAGCGAGTAAAATTTGGTTAATAGCTCTTTGCTGTTTCATTGACCTTGTTCAAATTTATAATCATTATGACAAATGAAATGCAATATTATGCTTGTGATTATTTTAGATTTCAAACCTATTTTAGAGTAGTTTTCTTGTCGAATTGCTCCCACTTAAATTTATATTTGTCAAACTTTTTGGCCATCTCATTTTCATGTGTATAAATGTATTTCTTTTTTTTTTATTATTATTTTGAATAGTGGAATGATTCAATTGATGGCTCACCTGAAGAGAGAGCCAATCTTCACTTAGATAGCCCTAGGAGAAAGATCGAGTCTCCGTTGAGGAAATATGAAGTCCCAAAGTTTGTTAGGAGGAGAAAAATTAAGAGGTGGAGTGTGGAAGAAGAAGATGCATTGAGGGAGGGCGTGCAGAGGTATGTGTTTTAACAAATTTATCTGATTTCAAATTTGAAATGTAGAATTAACAATGTTTTACTTTGCTAAGTATGAAACTTAAATTGTATTACATGATTGTATAATTTTCTTCGATTTTTTTTTAAAATTTTTTTTTTTCGCTTTTAATGAAAGATTTGGTGCTGGGAGCTGGAAGGCCATTTTAAACTCTAGGAGCGACATATTTGATGACAGGACTGAGGTAAATATGCTCGATATTCATGCGTGTTGCGGTTTCTTGTTCTTGCTATTAGCATTGAGCCACTAATATGTTTTCCTTTTAAAACTTATAATTCAGGTTGATTTGAAGGACAAGTGGAGAAACATGACGAAATAGCAACTCTTGAGAAAGATTTTTGTTTTCAGATCAAGGTATGTAACCCTATGTAATGAGATGAGAGCACTAATTACAGTTTGCAATCTTTTGTCTTTTTGCTTAAGGTATATATGATAAATCCTACATAACCTCGTTTTGTGGTGAAGTCAAGGTGTATATACGTTATTACTTCTCGAAATTGTTTATTGGGGTGCTTGGATGCAGCCTATGTGCTTTCTAAATGCTAGCTTTAGGACTCTTGGCAGGGAGCACTTTTGGTTTACATATATGTAATTGTTGTCTAATTGTTTCCCCATGACTGAAGACTGAAGTGTTCATATGTGCCTTGACTTGTTAACTGACTGATGTACCGTGTAAATTTTAGTAAAGGGGGAAATTACTGCTTACTCTTGAGGTTTGACCTGATGTTGTAGTCAATTATTTTATTTTATTTTTAATTCATTAGGAGGTTCAATGGCCTTAATTAGTTATTACTGTTTCAAAAATACATTATTTAGTCCTTAAAAATTTAAATAAGTGAATTGTTAATTCTCCATCTAAATTAAAGTGATTTTAACCCTTAATTGCAGGGGAGAGAAAAAAAAAAAAAAAAAAAAAAAATAGTGAATTCGTTAATCTCTCCATCTAAATTAAAGTGATTTTTAACCCTTAATTGCAGGGGAGAGAAAATAAAAAAAAAAAAAAAAAAAGGAAAAAAAAAAAAAAAAAAAAAAAAAAGGAAAATTTATATGAACTAAACAGCACATTCTCTCAAATATATTATTCAAACTCCCTTGAAATTTTTATGAAGAAAAAGAAACCAATAGATATGATTATGGTTATTTTGATAAGTGTATTTTCGATTTTAAAGGGTGTTCATTTGATGGAACATACAAAAGCACTCTTTGATTCTTTGCCGGAATGCATATACCGTGTAGATCAGGGGTGACAAACGCAACCAAACTGAAATTTAAAAATATAAACCGTGTAGATCAAGGGTGACAAACGCAACCAAACTGAAATTTAAAAGTATAAACCGAATTTTTTGACAATAGATCGAGCTGAAATTGGCTTTTGAACCAAACAGGTCAGTTCGGTCGATTTTGTTTTTTATTTTTTTTATTTTTTTTTATTGCCATTTCGGTTCGGTTTTAAGTTGACAAACGCAACCAAACTGAAATTTAAAAGTATAAACCGAATTTTTTGACAATAGATCGAGCTGAAATTGGCTTTTGAACCAAACAGGTCAGTTCGGTCGATTTTGTTTTTTATTTTTTTTATTTTTTTTTATTGCCATTTCGGTTCGGTTTTAAGTCCAACCCATAGATATCTACAAAATCAGCTTGACCGAACAATGAATTCATTTAAATTGAATAAACTAAATCTCTCTTGAATAACTAACCAAACCAATTAAAACTGATAGATATCTACAAAATTGGCTTGATCAAACAATGAATTCATTTAAATTGAATAAACTGAATCTTTCTTTTATAACTAACCAAACCAAAATGAGTCGGTTCAGTCAGTAGGTTTTGTAGGTTTGCACACTCTAGTGTAGATCACATAATCTTACGAGACATTGAAAGCATCCAATGCATAAGAAATACTTGTCCACACTAAATATATATCTATTTATTATTCATCCAACTAATAGTTATTTGTCATTAAAAAAAAAAAAAAAAACTCATCCTTCAGTACCAGTTTGTCAAATTTTTAAAGTAACACTAATACACTTTATTTGTGTCAATTGTTTAGATTATGATGATGCATAGAGCTGATGTGATGTAGTTTAGTCTTTTGATGGTGTAGTACATTCTTTCACATTAATGTGTAACCCATTACTCTGTAAATCCGATTTCTACTGCACCAGGTGCATTCATATCAAATGCTATTTTGCTTTAAAAGAAAATTACCAGCTGTTTGATAACTAGCATAAAACCTCAAAGTAAGTTGGTGTCCAGGAATCAGTACAATCAATATTCTCATGTTCTTTTTATTTCTTTCTTCAATTTCATTTTTCCTCCTTCACATGGTTGCTTTCTGTGTAGATCGACTGCAGCAATCTTTGACAAACCTCTTCAGACTCGCTGCAAAAGAAAATATAGTTGAATTTTCCACTTAAACTGTAAATTTACCTGTTACAAAACCAATAAGCAACAATTGTAGGAGTTTACCTCACAACAAATGGTCATAGTTTTGCGGTTTGTTCGCTGAAGGTTGGATCAATACATACAACCACCTGTAAAATCTCCATCATAAGACTTTGGTCCTTTCAGAAGAGAATAAATAAATGTGCATAAGATGAACATGCAATATGGAGAGGATGGCTGCATACCTTGCCAACGCTTTTACCAGAGTGAAGATACTCGACAGCATCTGCAACAGCTCGGACACCATTAAATCTTTTTGGGTCGACAGAAACCTGTTATAATTGAATTAGAAGTTAACAGATCAGTTCACATCCGGATTACTCTAGATGTCTGCATGAAATAAATCACCGGTAGTCCAATCTCAATAAATATGCAAAGAAATATTATGCAACCTCTCGAAAGGACTGAACATTTGAAGGAAAAAGAGTGGCCTAAAACAGGATGAAAGAATAACCTTAAGCTTTCCTGTAGAGAAAAGATTAAATAGTCTGTCCAGATGCTGTTGCCATAAGTGACCATATTGGACTAAGAAAAATCCAGCCTGCAACCATTGGCATTGTTAAAATAACTACATCAACCGGTAGATAAAAGGCAAATACCATTTGCTTAATCCAGTAGATAAACGCATAGCTCCAATCGGTCAGCCAGACATGCACGCCAAGCACACACAATTACCCATATGAAGTATATTACTTAGAAGACTCTAATACTGGGGAAGAAGCAAATGATGATGTTAGAAAGACGATTTGGGTACAAGTTAATTACATCGTTTTTTAAGGTTAGTTATGGAAGTGGGAAAATGATTGGAATTCTTTGTGATTTTTACAGGTTATTGGCTCTTGTTGCCATTGCCGTTAGACAAATATAATACTCGGAATTTCCTGATATAGTTATTGTCAATAATTCAGTTGGACATCGTCAACTGATCTTGGGAAGTGTGCCAGCCATGCCACACAGATGCACTATTTAAACATGTAGGCTGTTCTTGGAATGCATGCATTCTAGTCAAAATAGTTTCAGATGAGTTTGTCTAAGCAAATGTCTAAAATGCTGTATCACACCTGATTTCCAATGCTCAAAATAGGTAGTAAAGAGGAGTCTCATTTTATGTACTACAGGAAAATACAGCTTGGGAAGGTACAGAAGAAGCTGCAGCATATAAGACATTAAGCCTATCTACATAAACTACGGATATATTGCTGTAATAAAGGGATTAAACTAGCCACCTTCACATAAGATGAAACCCTCAAGAATATAGGAAACCTTACATATAAAGGGAGACTGCCCTGGAAAAATAGCCTACCATCATGACAAGGAGCCAAAAGGATCCAAGGCAAAAATTCCAAGCTTTGGTATTTGAAAGTAATAGTACGTTTAGCCTTTCCCATTCTGCAGGAAGCTCAAACCATATTTTTCCTTCCCCTCAGAAAAGAAAAAAAGGGAGAAGAGAGAGGGAAAGGAGGAGGTGGTTGGACGCAAGTATACCCGCAGCACAAAAGGTCAATGAGGCATAAGGAAAAGCATGAGCATCAAAATAATATGAAAGTCAACATATAATGGGGACTCTACCTAGGAGAAGATACATACCACAGTTTGACTTTTTGCTAAAATCTTCTCACAGAGCCCAGTATAATTTGATGGCCTCCATCCATGCTCTCCTTGATACTGGAAAAGAATATCAAAAGTAATGTAAAACAATCCCAATGGTTTAAATCCACAGATACATAACTTTAAAAATTCATGGGATTAAACTTTTGCAATTTCTAAGATCTCTCGCCCTGAAGATGTTACTTTAGATTTTCTATTACCAAATTAGTGAAATGATACTCTGTACAATAATTTAAGGTGAATCATATAATCGACCATATCTTCATTATTCAATTATGAATAGGAATATGCATCATCAAGTTAGCCCTTTAGTTTGCTTAGTTGTCTAACATGAACGGATGTTAAAATGGTATTTGCAAGTTTAACAAAAATCGACAATTAAAAAAAAATAAAAGAAACAGTCAAAACACCAACAATCTAGGAAGCTTGCCGAGAAAAAACCTGGGAAATCATTCCAATTACAATAAGTCGCCCGTGGACTGCTAAAGCATTCAGACACAGGTCAAACATGTCACCTCCAACAGACTCATATATGATGTCAACACCTTTAGGAAACTCCTCCTTTAGAACCTGTAATTGAAAATCGTAAGTAGTGGTGGATCTATGATATAAAAAGGGGGTTATAACCCCTTTTTTTTTGTGTTTTTAAATTCCCTTAAACAGACATGCATTTTTATTAATTAACTCCTCTTAAAATTCAAATTAAACTTTCTTTGTTATATTCTATTGTATATTGAACCTGGAAATTTTTTTTAAGATACGCCATTGGTCGTATGAATTCTCAAAATTACATAAAGTTCACATTAATTATCAGTAGCCACTATCTTCTCTTCCAAGCTTTTACTTTTATTTTTCTTAAAGATGGGACTTGTTATAAGTCCCTTACCAAAATAACAAGTTTTATTGCAAGTCACTGGATATTTGCATAATGTAAATAAGTTATTGGTTCATTTTGAGCCAGTAATTCTCACGACCTTAACCTCCACCAGCCACTCCTTCTGCACAATATGACATTAAAGGAGAACAAAATTAAAAATGACGAGCATGAAGTAAAGGTGCATACAGTTTTTATATTTTCAGCTTTATAGTCTATGACTCGATCAACTCCCAGTTCTTTCAACAGCATTGCCTTTTCCTTACCTCCACAGGTTGCAACTACTTTATTTCCTGCCAACTTTGCAAGCTGCATATTTAACAGTTCAAAGTATGTATTTGTATCCAATGTAAAAATGAAGGGAAAAAAACGAAGAATGAAAGAACAGAAACAATTGTTTATGCTAAAGACATGGAAAATTAGATAGCAAAAATAAGTTAGGATGGAAAAATCAAACAGCCTCTCTGCCGGACAAAAGAAATCCATGTTGTTAAAAGAAAATGCACAATGAGCTTGTGAAAGTTGGGATTGCAGTCTGATCTACAAATAAAACACACTAAAAAGCTAAAAGTCCCACACATTCTGAAGTGTGCGAGGTCAAAAGGAATTCTCCTGGTTATCATAATCAATTAAACTTAGGATTGGAGTTATTATAGTTCCCAGGCAGACGACTATCATTAATTCCATCTTTTTCTTTGTTCATGTTTTTTTGAAAAATAAAGATCTCATTGCGATTAGTGGTATTGTCAGGAGATCATAACTAGAAGGATTCAGTTTGCAATGCCAATTAAGTACTGAGCAAAAACAACATTTGATTTGATTATGAGACAGCAGAGCATAAAAGGCCATATTCAGTGAATTTTACAAATGTAATTTCAACTGGGTTTTGTAGGTTTTTTGTGTAAACTGAGAGAAAAAAATATAAAAGTGCCAAAGTAAAGTGTGGAGATATATGTATCCCACGAAGTCACTAAAGTTGGAATTTGAAACTTGTTTGTCAATGTTGATACGTGAAATTCTGGTAAATTTTACAATCAATCATAATTTTCCTTTATTAAATAGTCATGCAGATAAACATATTTGATTATTTTTCAGCTTTAGACTGGGCAATATGTATCATCAATTCCAGATATAATAACAAACTTTGTTGCTTTTCCAGACAATTCAAATCCTTTGTCAATCAACCAAAGAAGTTAAAACACAACGTCTGCAAGGTAAAGCCTCAGCTTGCATTGGATAAAGCAACAATATATATTTTAAACAACATATTACTTGTAACATCCGGTTCGACAGGAAAACTAAAGTTCTTTTGTGTTTGAATGATGTATTATACTTGAACTTATTATATGAAAACATGGAATCCTTACAACTCTAGCATCGGTTTTGAAAAGAAATACTGTTGTGTTTTATTTTTATTTACTCTCGTCTTGCTTCACAGGATGACTAGATGATGTCCATTTTAAGGTTGATTATAAATCACATTTGTTTGAGACTATACTAACTGTAATAAGATACCTATAAGAACTAGAGAAGTGTGTGACGTAATAATGGACGAATGGTCCACAAACCAGATAATGCAATCACAGCCTGGAATGGTAATAAGCACGCATGACTGCAGCAATGAAGAACATCCAAAACACATACTAAGACACAATTTGTTTATCAAAAGGATTAGTAAAAGTTAACCTGGACAGCAAATTGCCCAGTCCCTCCTGCAGCAGCAGTGACAAGAACTACTTTTCTAGTTTCCATCTGTCCAGCCTAAAAGTTCCATAAGAAAAAAAATATTGCTAAACAAAATGTAGAGCTTGAATGAAGGGTTTAAGTTAGATAATAAATGGTGTCAAGAAAAAAAAAAGATGAGGGAAGTTAAAATTCCACATTTAATACAAGCAAAAAGCTCAACCTTTTCTAGAGCAATTGAAGCTGTTAATCCTGAAGTAAGCATGGCAACAACTTCAGGATCTGGTCTTGGCACAGGAAGGATGTGTTTTGCTGGAACCTAAGTTGCATACACGGTGCATCATCATGATCACAAAACTCAGTGATAATAGCATACATTTAAAATAAAGTAGAAACTTTTTTTGAAAGGTTACAATAAGTAGAAATTGAAACTCTAAAAAGTAGACATAGATGAAGCAATTCTTTCCAGTCATTAAAACGAATGTTTTCAAGGAAGTATACCACTGTGAATTCAGCATAACTTCCAAAAGTCATAATTGCAGCTGGAGTACCAATTTTCAAGTCACGAACAGATTCTCCCAGTGCTGCAATTATTCCCACTGCCTGGAGGGGAGAATTTAAAAAAAAAAAAAAAAAAAAATTAGAGGATACTAAACTTCTAAAGTAGCATTGGTTTCATCATGATTGTCAAACCCATGACCAAACAGAGAAATGAAGACATTATCAAATTACATCATCACATTCTTTTATGCACCTCGAAACCAGCATCAAATGGAAGTCGGGAACTAATGTCATTTTTGTTACCAGTGAAATATCGTCCAGAGCTGAAGTTTACCTGCATCCAAATTTAAAGCAAGTTATTGTAGAAATACACAGAGACACATTAATGTGTGTAAAGACTAAGAGATTAAGAAATCACATATGCGAGTGACATAACTCGTGCCAAAAGAGGGACAAAACCTTGGTATGGTGACACTTGATAACTGTGGAAATGAAGGAAAAAGGCTGTAAATGAGACTCCTTTCCTCACAACCTTTAATAAATTTTTCTATAAATATCCTCTATTCTCTGTCAGTAACAGTTTTCTCTAACTTGAACCCCCAGTGGAGTGAACAGAAATTCCAAATAATTGAACATGGCTGGGCAATTTGGGAGATAGAATCTAACTTTACAGGAGTTTTCATTTATAACAACCAAGTCTTATAACAATCGTAAGAAATCCAAATGTAGTCTGGGTTGTTAGTGGCACACTTGTACTATATTAGAAATTTGAAAAGGGCGCTGCAGGGTGTCATAGGCTGTGAATGTGATGCCCAGCAGCCCTAAGGGGTTGAAAAAATTCAATGTTTTAAAACTCAATATTAAATATATTTTCATACAAGATATAATGAGTGTAAAATATAGACTGAAAATCATAAAAAAAATTAACTTTATCTTTTTATCAATATAGCAATTATTTTGTTCAGAGAAAAACTGAACTTGTGCTGTCTAGACAATATTTTGAATACCTAGCAAACTATCTAACGTACATTAGCATCATTGAGGCCTATTCAGCAACAACTTTTGAAGATCGTATTTAGTGTTTTGATTACTCTTTTTTTTATACTATTCAGTGGCATTGTGTTTATTCTAGTGTTTATCGGTTAAGGGAGTAGATTATGAAACATTACTCTTTTAATGCTTTGCTAACAACTAGTAAAACAACTGACAGCTACTAAAATAACTAATAACTACTAAAATGACTAATATTGTCGAACATGGACTTAATTAAAAAATAAAAACTTATAAAAAAATACATTTTGGATGGGACAGCTCACCCCGTCAGACTATAAGCCCTAGCATTTTCCATTTAAGAAACTGCCGAAGGCGTTGGAAGTTCAAATGCTGCTGACAGTGTTGGAAGTTCAGATAGGATTAGGTACCTATTCTTAATTCCTACCTAAGTTTTAAGTACGCTTCTCTCTCCCACGATATGGTGAAGTGCAGAGGACGGCAAATAATGTTTGCCATAAGCATCTCATACATTTCATTCGCACACACAAAAGCATAGTTTCTCAATTGACTAATAACACATACAACATTATTAATACAGATGCATGCTCCTCGATTAACAAATCACGCATATCTCAGTTAACAAATTATGCATATCAAAGTTAACTCTCACACATGAAAGCACAGCTCACATATACTTATATACAAATCTGACATACACATGCAGAGAGTAGTCTATTCTTCTTTAAAAGAGGAATCCAGATTCTAGACTTTGTAAAAGATAGACAAATAGAATAAGATTTACTGATGTAGAGGGAAAAAATAATTCAAAGGAATGAAGTTAACATGAACTTACATCACTAGCATTTACACCAGCATAAATTATTTTCACTAGAACTTGATGTGGTCCGATGGGTAATTGCAGTGGTGTGCATACAACACGGGTAGCTTTGCGGAAATTGTGGTCCAAGGTATGGACAACTCTGAAGAGAAAAGTAAAATGCATTAATATGCAACTGTTAGAAACTGTTAAGTGTAAGACTAGTATTTTGAGGTGCTCATGAATCATGATAATGTGAATTTAATTTCAACTTTTACACGCATGCTTCCTATGAGAAAGAATAGACAACTAGACAAAATATATCACATTCATCAATATTACAAGAACATCATATCTTAAAGCAACAGGATTTGGATGTATGGTTCAGTTCAAACCACCAACGACATTAAACTGAATTAGACAGTTTGATTCCATTCAGCACTAAAAGGTTCAAGTTTTAAAAATGTGAAATTATGGATTCCAAAATATCACAATGACTTGATCAGAAAACATGAAGGTATGATGCATAGAAGTGAATCTTGAGCACTGATTGAAATAGGTTTACAAATAGGCATGGCAGGGATGATAATGCCACAATGCAAGAAAGGATCAGTCAGAAATTAGTTCATTCTCATAGGGTTGGCTCAGAAATTTAGTTCATTTACAGACAGGTGGAAATGACATCCGTTGAGGTAAGTTACAAGAAGGATTATTGAGATGATTAGGACATATCTAAAGCTGATATGTGGATGAAAAAAATATAGATAGCCATCGATGACATGGACTAAAGCAGGCAACAAATATGTAGTTTCTCTAGATATTTGTCCAACTTTTACCCAAAACTGAATAAAGAAACATAGGTAATTGAATGGAAATTAAGGCTAAACTACACGTAATGGCTCAATCACAATATGTGGTGCTCACATAAAAAGTAAAATGATAAGATGAGAATCAACAAACAAAAATTGATTTAAGGAAACAAATTGATGATAAGAATGTTAAAAAACTGGTTTGGAAACTAACCCAAACTGTAATGTTTTCGTTTGGTTTGGTCTAGTTTAGCTAATATTCAAAAGAATTTTTGCTTAGTTTGAAATTTACAGTAAGTTGCAGTCTGAATCCAACACTAACTCAAGGCACTCAAACTGGCAATGCATACAGCTAAACAGGATTAACTTTAGGTGCTTGTTAGTTGTCACCTAACATGGCGTGTAGTGCTCCAGAATGACCAAGTTGCTAAGCATTTTACAAGGAGTAAGCAATTAAATACTTTTATATCAATTATTACATTAATTATGCATCTGCAACAGCTACTTTTGACACTCTTCCACATAATCTTTTGCTTTTATTGCTCTTTGTTTCTTTCTTGTTGAAGTATGAAATAAGAATTCACTTGGGTTTTCCCACAAAGCCCTTTCTATCCCTTCCTCTAGTTCTCCTTTTGCTACATGAAATAAGAATTCACTTAGGCAACCAAACCTTGCTAGGAGGTTTTAGGAATTTTAAGTAGTTTCCTAATGTGTTTGTTCTTGGTCTTTAAGAAAGATGTTCTATTTAGGATGTTTTTCCATAGTTGCTATTCTATATTTTTTATATTAGTAGGAAACGAAAGACATTATTTTGCTTATTTAGTAGGATTCTATTTTCCTCCTTCGCACAAGGGTTTAGCATATAAATATGGCTACAAAAAGCTAATGTAATTCAGCTTTAGAATAATCTCGAGTACCAATAAAATTTGAGACTTCGTTTCTCTCTATGTATTTCTTTCTTCCTTTTGGTAGATTCCAAGGGTGCAGTAGCATCCTTGAAGCAGCCTAACAAGGTTTTGCTTCAGTATGTTAGGTCTATTACTGTAGATCATCCATAATGGTATTGCAAACTCATCACAATCAGATTCTACTGGTTTTACTCATTCATTCTACACCTTCTAAAAGTTTGTGAGTCTGACATTTCTATTAGTTTATTCTCTTTGCTCTTTCCTTATACAATCATTTGTTACACTAATTCTTTTAGTAAATGAAGATACAGGAGGTGGCAAATAATTGTCACATTAGAGTGGAAAACCAAAATAGAGATTGTTAGACAAAGAAGTTACTAGGAAAAAGAAGACATTGATTACAATAAAATAAATATTCTTTGCAATGCAATGGGTATGGGCCATATGGCTATTTTAGTAAAGGGAAATACTGATTTTCAGCAATGTAATTTGATTTTGGATTTATGTTTGATAGAAAAAAAAAAAAATTGCATAAAAATTGTTTGAAAAGAGATTTTCTCACATTTTCTCAAAACTCTGAGGAAGTTGTAGTTTCACTGGACCTTGAAACAACAACCTTTTCTTGGAAGGTGAAGAACCAACTAAGTATTTTTTTTCTTCTTCAGGAGTGGGCCAATACTCCATGCCCCTACGATTTGTAATCCAAAGACAAGAGGAAGCTTTGCTCTCATCACTGATAAGCTCAAAAGCACCTAAAAATATGCAGACATCGGAATTTAAACTTTTGTTTTGAAGGGTTCAAGCAAATAGTAAAATGTTTGAGGAATAACAATCCAGTAAAAGTGTATACTATTTTCAGTCTAGCCCTTAGGACTGACTAGCGAACAGGCGAAATTCCTGCTCTCCACCTCGGGTCCATGCAAATGTCCTCTCCACATGGACCGGGCAAATCTCCAATACGCATGGGGTTATAATCCATGAGCATTGGAGGGCTTAATCCCAAGCAAGAGTTAATTAACTGCAGTTTATCCAGAGTGGTTTCCATTAGGCTAACCCTTTGGGGTTTTGCTAGAAAGGTTGGCCATAAAGTATACCTTTGATCACCATTTGCATAGGAACAAAGCCCCCCATCCTATCAACAAGTTTAGCATTCACTTTTGCTCCCATCTCAGTTTCAACAAACTGCATCCAAATATTGAAATAAATAAAATAGCAAATGCAAGCCCCATAAGATAGGTGGAATTGGAATATTTTGAGTCAAAATGGAATCAGAAAACCAGAAAAAGAAGATACATTCAAAAAGAATAAAATTAATTTAAGAGAAATTGCCAATTCCAATGGATATCAGTTTTTACATTGTCTGTTTTTGCAGTCAAATGCAGCCTTTCAATGTAGAGAAATGCACATATCTTAAACAAAACAAAGGCATGTCCATTAGTTTGTTATGAGACAAGGTTGTTTGTAGGCTTATGCTTCTGGAGCTTAAAAGTTATCCAACTTGACTGGAGGGTATTATTATTATGGAGTGACAATATTTGGTTAGTTTTATTTAGTGTTATGATAAGAATCAGTTTCTTTATTAGTGAGTGGTCTGGTCAAGTTATTTTGTTGAAATGGGTAGTATTTAGTGAGTAGTTATTGTAGTGGATACTGGGTAATAGGTAGTTTTAGCTTTGCATTTAGTTGTTCAAAAGGCTGTTGAATGAGGAGAAATGTGAGCACAATTTTAAACAAAGGTTTGAGTTCCTAAAATTCAGAGATTGTAGAGTTCTCTCCTAATTAGCTCTAAGAGATTGTATCCCCTGACAAGTCCTAGAGATTATAGGCTTCTCTCTTAAGGAGCTCTAATTCTATTCTTTAAATCCAAGTAAATATACTCTTAATTATATCCAAATTTGGGACTGTAGCAAATATTTTTTTCTAGCTTTGTTTTGTTTCATGTTACTACTTGTTATTTGAGCTGTAGGAGGATTTCTTGTTATCCAGAGCATACGCTCATTGCTTTCACTACCAATAATATTTTCTTATCTAAAAAATAAATAAAGGAAACTAGCTTATGTCATATGATTTTCTGAAACATTGCCGTAAATATAACATAAAATATCGGACTCTATATACACAAAACTTTGAGTTATCATATGATTGGTCTAAACTCTAAATTCACTCATGAGAATATTTGGGAATTATATTATATACTAAAAGAGGATGGGGTTGCGCTTTTCATCACAGTCCCAACCCCTATAGTAGTATTTTATATATTATGTTTATCACTAAAATTTTGAATGATGAGCATTGCTTGATGGTTTGGACCATATTTTACTGGGAACCGCAGGTTCAGGACTTGGCAATATATCCATTTTAAACTTAAAAATAATCATATTATATATTGTATGTTATAATCCTTAAGATTAAAGAGAATGCTATTTCTACCTTTTTATTTAATTTGAAGGTTTAAAATACTTGATATTTAATTAAAGTTCAAATGTAATATAATAATTACCAATAGATTATTAATAATTATTTTCAAAAAAATATTAATAATTACAGGTATAGGATTATTTAGAATTTAAAACTTTTTTTTCACAATTTAACTTTTTAAGGTTAGAAATTTGTAGCGCACTATAACACACTGAATCATAAAAATTATAAAAAATTTTCTAAATTAATAGTATATCATATTATATTATATATTATAATCCTAATACTAAGAGAATGTTATTTCTACCTTATTACTTAATTTGAAAATTGAAAAAAAGACTATCAATTGAAACTAAAATAAAATGTAATTAATATAATTACTAATAACGTATTGATAATTACAGGTTTAGAATTATTAAAATTATAAAAAAATAATTCACTATTCTAACTTTTCAAGTTCTAAATAAATTATGGAGCGTTATAGTACAATAAATCATGAAACTTATAAAACGAGAATGTTAATACTAAGGGTCTACTCGACAATATTAATTGTTTTAATAGCTGTTAGTTGTTATAGTAGCTATTAGCTGTTCCACTAGCAGTTAGCTTTTGCTATTAGCTTCTAGTTAATAGTCTTTTATATAGTGATTTAAATTATAAATGTTTGAAAAAGATAACTTTTTCAATTGGTTGTTTAACTTAAAATGATAAAAAAATGACATTAGTTGTTTAATTAGGTGAATTCAGGATTAAAAAAAAATGGGTATACTTGTAAAAAAATTTAATTAATCTCAGTGAAACACTATGTTATAGTGTTTTAATGTTTCATAAAAAGCTCTCTCAACCTCTAAGAGCTATTATAAGCTATCTTTTAGTGTTTTAACATTTCATAAAAAGCTACCTCAACTTCTAAAAGCTATTATAAAAGTTATGTTATCTAACACTACAATTAACTGAGAGTTTTGACTTGGTCAAAACACTAAAAGCTAGCTCAAAAGTTGTTACGAACAAGGCCTAAGTTATTACTTAATTTGAAAATTTGAAAATTTGAAAAATAGACTTTCAATTAAAATTAAAATGTTTACTAATAAGTTAGAGGTTAGTGTTATCAGAATCTTACGATTCACAATTCGAATCTTATGGGTGAATCGAAATTGCTCTTATGATTCATGTGATTCGAATCTTACATTTCGAGTCAAATCTCATATCAACAAAACAAGTGAAAAAATTCAATGTGGAGAAGGAAGACAAAGAAATATAGTTATATTAGAAGCTGAAGATAATGTAGGGTTTGAATTTGGAAATGATAATGAATAAATATGGATTTGGATAGGAAATTCTAATGGCTTTATAGTTTTACTTATTTTTTATTTTAAAATTTAATTTTATAGTTTGATATTTTGAACTTGACAACTACACAAGTCATAGATCTCTTTCATTTTCTGTTTAGTAAATGATTTGAAATTGAAATTTGTATAACTACATTATTTGCAATCAAATTTTTAGTATCTTTTTATAAAATTAATGGAAATATATATATATATATTAAAGTAATGGAATATATTATATTATATTATATATTTCAATATTTCAAATTAATTTTGAGAAATTATACAGTATCTTACTATTCGTTTCTTGATTCTAAAAATAGTTTTGATTCTCGATTTGACAACTATTAACAAAAAAATAACTAATAGTTATTTTCTAAATATACTAATTTTAAAATAAATAAAAAAATAATATTTTTCTTAATAAATAATTAAATAAAAATTATCTTATATGATATATAATATAACAGTAGGAAATCATGAAAAAGAAATATGGTGGTATCATTTTTTAATAGGTTAAGTAAAGCTGACTACTGCAATATACTTGATTACTTTTTTTTTATTCACTGATTGTCGTATATAGCTTTCAATTGTGTGTGACAAACACCTTGAATAAAGAGGTTTTTAAGGAGAAGGTGAGGAATTGACGCGGGGGAAAGATGTAGGGCTGTCAATTTTCAACAAGCAAGCTAGAATAGGGTTGATTGTAGGTGGAACAGTAATCAGTAATTAGGTTTATAACCTTTGAATTAAAATTATGAGGAAAATATGATGATTTACAATACTACTAATGCTGTCTATTTATAGTGATAAATCCTAACTAGACTAGGAATCCTAAAGAAAGAATTAAAACTCTACTCCTATTCAATGAAAAAATAGTAAATCCTAATCAAATAAGGAAACGGAAAACTAATGCAAATATGAAATAAAACAGTAAATTAAATAAAATCCTAGTTGTGCTAGGAATCCAATTAGGACTAGGATTGCTCCTACATTATTCTCCCCAGGTTTGAAAAAGACTCGGCTTCGACGAGTAAACCTTAAAAATCCTTCAGGAATGCATAACTTATTCATCTTGCAATTGGTATGGCAAACTTTCAGCTTCTGAGGAATGCAGCAAATCAGCCTTTATCTTGCCAAAACATGAATCTGAATCATACTGGTTTTTCAGTTCTTCAAAACCAGTAATTTGAGTGCTCAAAATTGACAAAATTAGGGATCTTCTGCTCAATGCATCAGCCACAATATTAGATTGACCGGATTTATACTTTAGTAAGAAATTAAATTTATAAAGGAAAGAACTCCACTTAGCATGTCGATTGTTGAGTTTATTCTGAGATTTTAGATACCTCAAGGCCTGATGATCAGAAAAAACCACAAACTCACGATAAGCTAAGTAATGCTGCCAATGTCGAATAGCTTACCAAGGGGGCATTAGACACTCTTAGATCATAAGTGAGTAACGCTTCTTAGCTTCAGAACAACTTACTAAAACACTCAAGAGGTCTGCCCTCTTGTAGAAAAGCTTCAATCCCTTCATCGTGAAGCATCCACATTCGACACATAAATTAATTTATCAAAAATCTGGAACTGCAAGGAACGAAGGTGCTCTAGTCATCAAAAAAAATATGATTCTTCAAATGCACTTTTGTGCAGAGATATTGTCCACTCACTTTTTCTTTTAGATTCAGATTATAGGACTAGATTCAATTATAGGACTCATAATTGAACTGAAATTTTGGATAAATCTCCTATAGAAAGAGGCCAAACCATGAAAGCTTCTAACTTCTTTGATGGATTCCGGTGCTGGCCATTTGGTAATTGCACGAACCTTTTCTGGATCTGGTTTTAATCCTTCAGCAGACACAATGTATCCCAGGAATACCACTTCTGGTTGCAGGAAACCGCATTTTTTCAAGTTTATGTGCAGCTGCTCTTGACGAAATACTTCTAACACTTATCGCAAGTGTTTTAAATGATCTTCCTCGGTGCGGCATTCAAATAACCCATCCGGTGTCTTAAAAGCTGTTTCTCATTCATCACCATGCCTCATTCTAATTTGGTGATATCCACTTTTCAAGTCAATTTTGGAAAACACTTTAGAACCCGCTAGTTGATCAAACATATCCTCTAATCTTGGTATTGGAAAGCGACATTTGATTGTAATCTTATTTATAGCACGACTATTCACACACATTCTCCAAGAACCGACTTTCTTTGGAGTTAATAAGGCTGGGCAGGCACATAGACTTTTACTTTCACTCACCAGACCTTTTTCCAATAATTTCGTAACTTGTCTTTCTATTTCAGCCTGCTGTAAAGAAGGCATTCGGTATGCAGGCAGATTTGGTAAAGCTGCTCCTGGTACCAAATCAATAGCATGTTGGATGCTTCTTAACGGTGGTAAGCTTTTCGGTACATCTTCACTAATTCTTCACTAGTCAACTCCTTTGAATTCCGTGCAATAATTCATTGAATT